ATCCTATTTTATCTCAATTAGCATGTAAATATCTTTCAATTCCTGCTACATCGGTTCCTAGTGAATGACCTTTTCTGATGTTGGTAATAATATTTGTCAAAAAGAACAAAATTAGTACTTAATTTAGTGAAATGCATTTTATTTTTAAATCATAATAGTTCTTATTTTTCTATGTTTTCGCCTTCAAAAATTAATAAATAATTTTATATACAGTATATTTTAAGTTCAAAAAAAAATATTGATACTAAAAATAGATATACAGTTTGTCTAAAAAGTTTTTAGACAAATATTTTTTATAATAAATAAATAAATATTTATTTATTTGTTATAAAATTTTAAAGATATATTAATAAATTTATTTTGAAATTTGATTTTAAAACTAAAAAAAATGTTTAAAATTTTTTTACAAGTTTTTATATATAAATTTATATATATTAATTATGAACAGAAAAATAATTTTTAATTTTTAATTTTAATATAAATTTTGATAAATTTCTTTGATTAAAAAATTAAATAAGTAACTTAAAATTTAATAAAAGTTATTTTTTAATTAATTTTGATTTTATTTATTGTAATTTAATTAAATCATATTTGATATAACAATAAATTTCAATAAAATTTGATAATATATTAATAAAAACCTATTAAGTAAATTTGTTTCTTATATTCTCATTAATATATATTTAAATTTTTATTTTATTTTGTCAATCATTTATTGAATTGTGAATAAAAATATAAAATGAAAATTTGTTCAAAAACTTTTTAAACAAACTGTATCTCAAACAATAATAAAATTAGACATAATATAACCAAATATAATATAATCAAATTAAATTTAACATATAATAAAATAAAATTGGTTCCTAACTCTATCTAGAATTACTATTTTAAAGTTTGCCATCCGTATATACTATACTATATGTCGATCATTTTTGGACGCAGACTTTTGTCAACCCAGTGTATGTTTATTTAAAAATAGAGAACCAAATTTGCTTCAAAGATAATTGCCCATACATAATCCAGAATAATAAAAAATTCTTACAACGCTAAAGTTGATTTTCATTAATAATCAGAACAATAAGGTTTTTTGTGCTACGCTGGGCAATTTCATTACAGTATCGAGGAATAGTAGCTATTCGAGATATGGTTAGAGTGATATGCGTTTTATTATGTATATAAAAATATTGTATATTGTTCCTTTAATCCGCTTTAGAATAGGTTTGACAATAACAAATAATAATGTAGATTGTACTGACAATTAAGAAGTTAATTTTAATGTCCAATCTTATAATTTTGCGCCATTGCAGTCAATGTTTTTGTTTTTAACCTTAGATTCAAAATCGCATATTATTACTGTATCAAATCATCCGCCAAAGTTGTATTCAGACTTCGAATGCAGGTATAAGAGATCCATATTTGCATGCATTCAATGCAATAAACAATACAATACTGTGTATGAGTCGGTCTTTCATTTAGCCGCATGCTGATTTGCGTTTAATTATTGATATTACAATCGCCTGAAGTATATCGCGTAGTTCTTAGAGATGCTACTTCCAAGTGCAATTGTCATTAAACAACAGAGCGGCTCCACTTAAAAACAACGTAGTGGGCAATCTTGACAATACATATTTAGATTCCTATTATGGAATAAGCAACCGATTATCAATAAATGGGGCTCAATATTCGGTAACCTGATGTAGAAACTTTGTAGGCATGAAAGTGGGACGAAAGACCATGCACAACCAAAATCCTTAAACCTAAATAAAACACGTTTTATTTAGACGTTTGGCCTAAAAAATATTAGGTGATTAACAACATGTGTATACATTCAAGTATCACTATAACTGGTGAAAGTACCAAATATATTGTATGATGTAATTATATACAGTATGTAAAACGAAGCCCTCAAGTTTTTATTAAATCAGTGCACACAATGTACATACTATTTTTTGATCACGAACGCAAGAAATGTCACGATAAATAAATTAAAGTGCCGTATAAATCATTCACATGCTAAATTTTGTTCTTTGCGAAGAGGTCCGCATCTAAAGGATAATTTTCTGTATTTATTATATGAATCATGCAATGCATTCAATATTAAACAGGATTAAATAGTTTTATAATTCGATGGTTGCTTATTAACAAGTTGGCTAATCGCTCGTCAAAATAATTATTATAATGTACTGTATATAGTGACCTGTCTATAATTTTACTTCTTAACTGCATCTTTCTTTCTACCTCTGCTATGGATTGATGATTCTCTTATCAACAGAATATTCGGACGTTCAATCTGATCTATCTGTACGTTCAGAACCTTATCTGTGCTCATTTGGATTTCTGGTCCTTATAGCGATACATAGAAGAGCAAGAATTTAATCGAAATATATCAATTCAATTTATCTTTATATTCTCTAATTAGAACTACACCTTATTTTTATTCCTGTAATGTAGTGTAAGCAATGATAGTGTTATTATAATAAATCCGAAAATATAGCATATTTGCATGTTTAAAGTATTATATACTGTATAAACGATCTAACCATTATGGATTATTATTGTAAGCATATTATAAAGTTTGCTCTTGTTTTCAAGTAGTTCGGGATAATTAATGATTAAGATCATTTCTCTTAATGCATTACTATCGGCAATAACATTTCAGATAAAATCATGAAACATATAAAGGAATCTAAGTCATTGTTTAATTTTATTTACTGCCTTTTATCTGTATGCATTTTATGCAATAAAGTCACGTGTAAATATACTGTTATATAAGAGTTCTCGTGATTCGGGAAAGGTTTTACCGGCTTTTAGTCACGTTACAGTAAATCGCAAATGGAAAATGTAGATGAATTAATTGTATCTAAAAATAGCCGATCGATCTTATTGGAAAGACAATGAAAAGACGAGAGTACACATTACGTCAATATTTCGATTCCGCCCAATCTACAAACCAAACATTAGAGAACATACTAGTTCTATTCAGATTCTATATAGATCAGATGTTTATTCCATTTACAGCATGCTAATTCATCCGTAACAGCTTGTAGCCTTTTTATGTGATTATTTTGTTTGCCAAGTTGTTCACGCTACGCCCACGAGCTGGCCAGTGATTAATTAAAGTTGTTTGGTTGTATTTTAATTTGCAGTATGCATATATTTAAATTTGAAATAATATTTACAATATTCATAGGTCAAAAATTTGGTCGGCTGTGTCTGTAATGCTTGTTTTCTCGGCATTCATAATTTTCGTTACACACCTAATTTTTGAAAAATATAAATAAAAAACCACCGTAAGAATTACAATTTGGTTTTTTGTGGGTTTGCGAGCTATAAGTTACTCTTGCCATTAATTCACTCAAGAAATGACTCGGTAATTTCTTACAAAAATCACAAATATGATATTTGGCAAATTAATTACTTTCATTAATCACCACGTACTAAATAATTTAGACAGTCGAGAAGAGGTCCATATTCAAAAGCATGTACAAACTGCCATAAGGCGAAGAAAGGATGTTCTGGTTGCATTAATACGCAGTGTCAGCGATGCATTAAAAGGGGACTTCGTTGTATTCCTTACAAGAATAATTGCAAAACAGTTGAGGATGAGCGTGGTCGAGGTAGTTTGCTAATTCAATATATTTACCGTGTATAGTTGTCAACTAATCACACCAAAATTCTTTTCTTTACATATAGAAACATATCCAAAATTATCTTCTTCCACGACCACAGATTTTCAATCCTCTTACGAAGATCAGCAAATAGAACCTTCGGAAATTCAGATAACACAAATTCAAGAAATTATGCATGGAAATAGTGAAAACAAACACATTACTAACTTGATTCGTTGCGATGGTATGTTAAATAATAAATCTAGTTAAATTAAAGACACGCTTATATTCCCCATTTAATGTTATCCTTTCCACTCAGATCAACCAGAGAAACCCTTGTATTCACCTGCTAATGATGCCAATTATAATGCGTTATATGTGTTACACGAAGGTCACGGGACGGAATATATAGATTCTAACTATATATATTATGTTGTTAATAATTATGGTATTAATGAATCGATAATGATAATTGAAACAGAAATGAGTTTACCGTCGATCTCTTATTATGGTAAGTGTACAGGAATTTATATTAAAATGATTGGGTAGATTGTACAATACTATAGAAAACTAATTCTGGATTAACTGATAAACGCCAGATGTTCAAAAGAATTTATCCGAGAAATTTTACACATACTCGTCTGAAAATGGTGTTGTCTCCATTACCCGCTCTAAAATCCCGGATCCTTATAATGGTATATGGATGAAATAGAGTTTATTTAAATATCTAAATCCAAAATGTATTGCAGAATATCATTATCACTTTCTTTCCGATTATATAGAATTCCCTTAAATAAGAAAAGCAATGATTTTATTGGATCGACCAATTCAAATGTCGATAATTAAGTTAAATACGTTAATAAAACCTATTTAATGGTTTTTTAAAGTTTATAGATATTATATATTAGACAATTGACTAGATTGTTTGTATTTTATTCTAGAAGTCTTCAACTGCATATTATTTACCATTTATTTTTTACGAAAGATATCTTATAGAGTTTACAGTTAACATGTCATTATTAAATTAATATTATTCAGAGTTAAAGCTATAAATTTCAGCTTACATTACTGGTTTTGTAATACAAAGTAAACTCTCAAATGTAAACTTCATTGAATATTGTTTATCGTAGCCTCAATGCACTAGTAATTTGATATCAAGAAATAAGAGGCAATGAGTGTTATGAAAAATTTTACAAGTAAAAAATTTTTAGAATATAAAAATCATGATTTAATTTTTAATAACACATTAATTTTAAAAAAAACAATGAAAATGTTTTTGCAAATTTAGAGATATTAATTTATAAAATATTAATTTAAAGAGATTTAAATATTTTATTCAATGCATTGTGTAAATAATATATTATTAATATTTTTATAAATTGAATCGAATATATTTGAATATTTGTATTAATGCTTTTTTTGCATAGATTTTATTAATCAATTGAAGATTACATTTCCTATATATAAATAATCTATTAACTATTGCTAATTAACAGATACAGTTCAGTTGACTATATATACCAACATATTGTATAAAGTTTATTATATATTGTTATAACAAAATAAAAATAATTTCTCATATAATACTATATTAAATATTGAGTGAAATAAAGAAAATAATTAGTATAAAAAGAATAATTAGTATAAAAAAGTTAATTAAAATTAAAACAATAATATATATATATTTGGATTTTGTTTTAAAAAACAGCAATAATAAATGAAAAAAATTGAATATAATAATAATAATATAGAAAAACAAGAGACTTTCTATATTGAAAAAATTGAAAAAACTGAAAAAAACAAAAAAATTAAATTTCAAATCAAAGAAAATCTAGTAACTTATTTTTTAAATATATAATTAATCAAAAAACATTATTTAAAATTAATTTATTCATATTTGAACAATAAAAAACAATCAATTAAAAAATAAAATAAGTTTATAAAACATATTCTTAAAGAAAAATAAATCAAAGTTCTAAAAAAAATCTTTATATACAGTGTGTTACAAAAGTCTTTGGATTAATATTTTTTAATATAACTTAATAAATAATTATTTAATTAATATAAAACTTTAAATATATATATTTTTATAATGTAATAATAAAAATATTTAAGT